CTACTGAACCTTGGATAAGTTCATCCGGTGGATCGCTGAACGTCGACCAATTCACCTAGCCTTATCAATGTCAGTGACAACCAGAGCGAATAGGCAGTCGTAAGCCATAGATTGTAGAATGCAGCATCGGCTCTGCCATATAATTCTCAATTCTTAACAAGTGACTGAACAGGCTACAGTGAAATGCATAGCACTAACAGTTTGACGTGTGAACAGCACCACTGTTTTGTTCCTGTATTAGCAATAATCAATTAACAAAATGCATGTGGTATAATTCACTTATGTTCCTAAAATAAACGAAATGTTATCAAAAAATCTTTTATTATGTGAAAACTGTTGGGTCGGCTTCCGGAGAACTTCAACGGAGCCTCCAGAGGCCCAGAAAGGAGCCGAAGGGCCCTAGCCGATCAGAGTATGATGGAACGTTCGAGAATTCCAGCGTGGCGTGCTACCATTGGTCGGTAACATAATATGACGTTAACGGATTGGCTGAGATATGATGTTGATTTAACAGACGCCAACATCTATAAATACCCTTGATTTTCTGTACTAGAATGAACTTTGGGATAAAGTGTTTTCTCTCATACTTGTGTCTTCTTTCTGGACTTCGAGTCGCTGTGTAGTTCTAGTCTGCGGGTTACGGGAATAGCTTAGGATTCGTATATAGCGTTCAACCTACACGACTTATCAAAAACCGTGGTAGTTTCACGAATTTATTGTGGACAACTGACAATAACTAATTCAATATTGGTGTAGTCGTGAGAGACATATACTAAACTCAATTTTCTGACGAAATTGTAAATCAGCTATCCATATTAGTGCTTGTGGATGATGGCAAAAAACTACCGTCCATTAAACCTAAATGTGAGTATTAGGTATACAGAAGCTATGATCACTTAATTCTAAATCGAGCCTTGAAATCAACATGGTTTGTATGCCACAACTAAAGTGATGTTCTGTACGATGTTTTTAGCCTAATGTATCTTTATAGGATTACAAGAACGTGACCGATTTGCAAGAGAGTGGTACGAAGTTTTGCCAGCGTTCAGTTTAGTTAGATTACGATACTTTTAGCTGGCAGGAGATTTATAAGGCTGCTTATGCTAATGATTTTCACAAATGATTGTATCATCGAACATTCGATCAGACTGATTAAGTTCCGTATCTTTTGCTAAAGTGACCGGTTAAAAAACTGGCCGAAATCATCCATGTTAAATAAAGATAGCCACGATAAAACTTTATATATCATATTACGTGACTACCAGGCTGTGACGATACTTTATCACGATTTACAGAAATTATTATGAATGACTAGTGATGGTGTTGATTGAGCTTTCGCTTGAATGAATCAGGTGTTGTTTTAAGCGTTTAATACTTTTGAAGGTTCAGAATATGTCCAAGTTTAGTGATTCGGAAACGTCAGAAGTTTGTAATAACGTATGTAGCCATAGCGAATCGGAGTCGCCTAACTACATTACAAATCATGATGCAGAAGTATTAACGTTGATCAAAGTAAACTACAGAGTTTCTATTTTGACCACTTTTGTTACAAAGAACTACGTAATAGTTAAGTGATTAAACTAGTGCATTGCAATAATATTTATATTGCGGTGACTTTATTATCGCCCATTTTCTGAAGTGTCAAACGTTCCATTAGACAACAAATATGATAGCCAAACTCATAGACCTGAATACATGCAGCGGTGGATTTGGTTTATAAACTTCAGGAGCAGTTCAAACAATAGGCAAATCTGAATGGCATAAAGATAAAACAAAATAACGTATATGTAAGCTACGTTAACATGTCCGTTGACATGAAACTTAACAACAAACAAGCTAGGTTAAAATCCACGTTGATAAAGAAAACAACAATCAAAACGAAAATTTCCAGAAAATCCAAAAGCTGAGACATAACTTACGGAACAAAAGTTAGGAGCATGATGGAAAAGTGTAGACTTTCCGGAAGAGGTTACTGAAGATAATATGGTAACACTTACACTTAACGACGATAATCAGGACTAAGAGGTGTCAAACTAATATTGAATCTAAAATGATTCTCCCAATAAATACACATTTCCTCATGATAGTATGTTGTCGTCCGAAACTTTTGAATACATATCTTCTCAAAAACGGGAATAAAAGAGATAGTTGAACGAAAGAATGTATGTGTCTAGATCGAGTGAAAATCTATACATGTTACGAAGTATGATAAACATGGTAAACCAGCTGCTGAAATGATACATCTCGCCTAGATTGTTCTCGAAATAGGGATTACTCAACAGTTTTGACATAAAACGTCAGCTGTGACAAATAAATTAGTCCAGTTTAATCAGATAAAACGCTCATTATTGCAACTAATTCCTCGGTATGTGAGATTCCGTTGACGTTGTTATTGGTTTGAATAAGTATAAATCTGTAGGGACAGCAAAATATCAATGAACCCTAGCAAAACCATCTGGCAGTCGAATCGCCGAATATCGGACAAATAATCTATCCTCGTCGAGGTCAAGGATAACCAACGCGCATCAGTTAGTTGTGTGCCACAGACTGGTCTCGCTATCTTCTATATACTCATTCTTACTGATATATCTCTATAATATCATCCTTTGTATTATACGATCTTCAAGACAGCCATAGTACTTTGATACATCGAAGAGGTAATCCACGCTGGAGGCTGACCGAGAGGTGTGATTTCGATGTTAGTTGGTTCGTCACATCATTCCCGTCTAACTCGAGTAGGCCTCCAGTCATTCGACAGAGATCATCAGCATTGATGATCAACACGATCAAATAATTTCAGATACATTATTGGCTCTCATAGTACTTATAGTTTAAATCGTGCCTAAGACTGCAGAGATTTTATAGCTTGAGCTTATCGCAAATTTCCAGAATCTTACCGTTGTTGTTTAATAATTGAGTTCGAGAATTCTGAATTAGGCTGTCAGTGATCGAGCACAAAAATATTTTGAGATAGTCTATAGTGTAAAATATATTAAAATAGTTATTGAAGGAACAAGATGAAGAATTACATTCAGGTACTCATTTGTCCTTGCTCACAACAAATGACAGTCTATGTGTATTTATGTCGATTAGGCGCTATATTTGTTAGTGATGGATGTTTTAACAAACGTGTTATGTTGAAGCATGTGAATGCCACCAAAGCTTGCCAATGAACTATGAGAACTAATCATAAATAAAGTTCATTAGTTATTAGCATCGATCGAGCTAGTAAACTGATTATGGATACCAATCACTATTAGAATACGACATTACCCATAAGCACTAATCAACAAACCAACAGAATAATGGATTAACATAAGTAAAATTCAGTCGACAAAGTTGGAGCGAATATGAGAATTAATAACAGATAATGTTTATTAGGTCGGTGCATCTATCTTTGCTACTCAAAGGATATACCTAATCTCAAATATGTAGATTTGTTGTAATGTGGCTACCTAATCTTACGTGGAAGTCGCACCATTAATTACACAGACAAGTCCGTGTGACAGACAGCATATAACGTTTAAACATTTCGAAGAATACATTAAGGCGTATGATTAAATGCTGATAAGACCTTAAAGTTTGCACGCGGCTGAATAATGTCCGGCTTGATTTCTGTATATGCGGCTGTACCAATAAATAGCGATAGTGAATGAATTAATCCTACAGATCGTCTGCTTTACCGTGAGTCTCTCCCCGCATATATGTCAGAAACGGTTACCTGTAATACTTCTGATTTTGCCCTAATGTTTACTAAACTGTCAACATGGTTAAAAAATAACTCTGTTATTTCTACGGCATAGGCGGGATTATCATAATTCACTCGAGTATTTTTACCCCATTTTGGGGTAAGTTGAATAATGTCGTTTTAAGTGATCATACTGGAATATTGTCCAGAAGATCAGATACCTTTGATGCTACTTCTATCAGCAGAATTCAAACACGGAAGAGAATTTCTATGCTTGTGAACATTTATTGGTTTGATGAAATTGTACTTGCATTTTTATAAGCCAAATATGTTGGTTTAGTTTACCAAATGGTGGCACATTTATTGAGTTTAGAGTATGTAAATCCGTTAACTCTTCACTTTGTAATGACTCCACATATATAAGAAAAATCACTCAAAAGAAAAAAGCGCCAAAATGTCTGTCAGTGAACTAAGAAATATAGTTTCGGGGAAAAATACAGAGCTCGTCAGATTTGTATTGCAATTCAGCAAAGTAACTTGCTAGATAAAGCAATACACAAAGTTACTATTAATGTACCAAAAAATATTAACACTAAACTCGAGTGACTCTATGAATAAGAAAGTGAAAAATTGCACTTAGAGTAAGATGACATAATAAATAAGAAAAATGATCACAGTTGTCATGAAATGAATGTTATTTGTAAGCTTTTTTTAGGATGACAACTACAGATGGATCCCACCAAATTGACGAATGCACACTGGCACGATTGGGACCGACGGTGTGAAACGAAATGTAACTCCGACAACGTTATTGAATAATATTACAGGTCAAACATCTCCACATAGTGTAGAGTGGTCGAAAAGTATGTTATATTACTATTATAATCTTTAATTGCAGGCCATGACCAACAAAGCAGAAAGAAAGACGATGGAGATATGGTTTGTTAACATACATAAGAAATACACAAGAAATGACTACATGCTTCAAAGTTAACAGTTATTTTGAAACGGGTTGTAAATTGGTGAAACCAAAATTGAATATCTAACAGCAAACATCGGTTGGTAAATTTTTCGAAAGTCAATAGGATATATTACCGAAAAACACTTTCATGTACTCTAGTGATCGATGTACTATTTACAGAACGAATATTTTTGGTAAGTTTGTTATAATTATTCAATCGACTTAATTCTGGAACTCCTGCCAATCCCTATGATTGGACAGTAGGTCGGTGAGGACCCGCGCAGCTTGTTTTGGTTTCGATTTTGCGATTGTGTTGCGTGTGTCCAGAATAGATATATCGGTCAAATTCTTGTTTTTCAAAACTTTTGCGACTGTAAGTTGTTATCTTGCGTTAAATGAGTTCGATTTCCCTTTCTACAAACTTCGAATGGTTTTTGATGTGGTTAGATATGCAGATTTCCCATTTAAGTATGAATTAAACTTACAGTTAATGTGGTTTATATCCGAACGATTACCTTATTTTTACTATCTGGTTCGAGTTTTGCGCCCCATGGAATTTGTTTTTCATTTAATGTGCACGAACGTCCTTTGTTATCATTGCCCTACATTTTTTATTGCATATTTATAGGTCTTCGTTTTTCTCATATGATGCGGACAAGGTGAGTTTTTACCTTTCATGGTATCATTACTTCTGTTGCATTTTATACGTTTCGTTTCAAGGTGTTTATGATCAACACTACATCCGTGTATATTTCAATGTATTCATATTTGTGAGATTTTCACAACTAAATATATATATATATATATATATATATACCTAGATACAAAATAGTTCAAATTGTAAAATGCTTTGGACTTAACGTTGCCGCCGCTGGGTTCAAATGAGTTTGTTTGTCAAGTTGCGATTACGTAGACTACAAAATAATGAAATTATTTGCTAAATAGCCGCTTAAGATTTGTATAGCTTAATATACAATTACTAAATATTGCTATTAAAATGCCCAGATCACTTCAAAGAATAAAAATTGGTAGTGAATACTTTGTTGCAATGTGAATTAGTTTCACCATTGTCGTTTATTATTTTGTTTCAGAAACCGAGGTCAGAAAAGATCTATTGTATCATCGCTAGGATTGGGCCCAAAATATAGCAAACATAAAAGTGTTGTTGATCATAAGTGCTCTGGTTCAAGACGAGGTCGTACTAGTACCTTATTTTTACGGAGTCAACCAAGAACTCGTTGGTCATCCGAAGTTACACGAACTTGTGTAGGGAGCAACCTGGGAAGACCGAAAATTCGTAAGCGCGGTAGTCGGGGTCTTTGTGGAAGTAGTCGTTTGCCCTGTACGGTACACTTGGAATCCAAAACTTGCAGTTTTTCATCTGATCCTCTAATGCATACTATGTATGCTACGCGAACAAAAAGTAAAGGTTGTGACGCATTTTCTTCGATAAATAACAGTTCTACTCTGAGATCTCGTATAAGCAAAATAAAAGTGGAAGATGAGTCCAAGTTTGATCTGTCGAAACCTAGTGTTGAGGTCGAGCCAAAACTTTACACTAGTAATCCACCTGGTAGGCCATTTAGTAGGGGAGTCAAAAGAGGACGTCCACGATTCTCTAGAGGTCTTCCTCGGTCCATTTGTGACACAGGATCTAATTCAACTAGGCAGTCGGTAGATTTCATAGCTAGCGAGACCACTGTCCAAAGTAGCTTCCCCAAGAAATGTGATTCTCCAGTACACAATACTTCTGTTATTGACTGTGTAGACCTGGAAAGTACATTAAGGCCCGATAAACCAAATGGAGGCAGCTACAGATCTTATGACAACAGATCAGACGTTAAAAAAGAAGATAGTGAAATTTTTGCTAATTTACCTTTACCAACGAAACGACGACGTGGAAGACCTCCTCTTAAGCTGTGTTCTGCACTATTTCCCAAAACCAGTGCTCCCGTAAAGTCTGAAAGCAAGGAAGTCACTCAAGATGAAGTCCAGGAGTCAGTTTATTTCCCTCAGGATTCACATCACTTATATCCAGAAATCACTAAAGAACGGAGGTTTCCAAGTATTGATCTAGTGCGCACATCATGTACAGCTTCACCCTTTCAACTTCGTTTTGGTGCCACTGATGATGTTCTCCAAGAAGTATTAAATGAAGTAAATGAATATGGTTTTGTAAAGTTACCTGTCAAACGTATAAGAAAAGGTCGTCAAAAACCTACTACCCCACCTGGCAAGGTAAATGAAGATCAATTTGTAATGAGCTTCAATTCTCCTTCTGTTGAAAGAATTTTTGACTCCATTTGCAGAGAAGACAGGTTAAATGATGACCTCGCTTCAAAAGATTTATTTTTAGCAATGAGTGGCCTCTTGCGCCCAGGTGTTTGTGAAGTATGGCGCAGACGACGGGAAGATCGAAGTAAGCAGTTGAGTCGAAATTTGATGGGTCGTTTACGTCCTAATCCTCGTCCACGACGATACTCTGACATGATATCTCAAAGTAGTCATCATTCCCATATTGATGGTCTCATCTCACTTGATGGTATTCACAATAATGAAAAAACTCGACATCAATCTACACGTTCGACTACTGTGTCAGCAGCGAGGTTGACTGCTGCTAAGAAGCTCATTCGAGCCAAATCACATGTTCAGAGTAGCCTTCAGATTACTCCTATTAGGTCTCAAAGTACTGGATATGTAGATGAATTATGTATGGACTCAAGAACAGGTCGGTCTGCACATCGTACTGCTAAAATGAACGTTTCTATATCATCTAGAACTAGTCGCCATCCAGACGTAAGTCATCATATTGACTGGAAGTTTTGTTATGTCTCCTCAAGTAAGCAGAATGAAGTCACGGGTCTTAGTAACAATCTTCAGCGTCGCCAACGTCAAGCAAGTTTTACTTCAAAAGCTCGCATGGAAAATGTTGGTAACTTTTCACCTATAAGGTCACTCGATAATAGCCCTTGTGATCTCGAACAGGATATTCTGGAAGATTCCTGTGATATTCGCAAAACAGACATGGGAAACCAAATACAACTAAAACCAGAAAGCAAGACTCATCTTCAAATTAGTAGTTCTAATGATGCTGAAAGGTTCAATTTAAATTACAATAAGTCCATACAGTTATCTGGTGATCGGCGTCTCGAAAGACGTCGCAAAAAACGCCGTGCAATCACATTCCAGAGAAAGCGTCCAAATGAACGTTTCTTGACTTCCCATAGACGGGACAATTGGTGTTCAGAGAAGACACATTTGCGTGACGATTCTTCTGCATCATCTTCAACTTCCAAGTCTGGCATAGTAGATGCTTATGGAAGGTCTTTTCGCCAAGCAAGGTGGTACCATCACCGTCCTCCTAAAATTGGGCATTCCGAACGAACAGGATCAAGTTACTGTTGCCATAGCGCTTTAGAGTCTCGTTCACCACGAAAGTCGGAGCGTTCATTAAGTTCTCGGCGCATCCATACAAGTTCTAAGTTTAGTAGCCGCCGAATCGTATTACCAGAACCCAGTCATAGTCATGCGTCTCGTCATCGCATCCCTCGACGACCAGACAGGATGTGCCAACTCACTCTCCTTGATCGTTTAGTCTTGGGACTAAATTGTAGTGTGTCGCAAAATGACGATGAAATCCATATTAAACAACTTCATGCAGAGGAATTGAATATTCTTACACAACGTATGAGCCGTACAGGTTTTTTTATACAATCTCTTGCTCTTCGACAAAATGCTAACAACGATGCTGAATATAACATTGTCCTTACTTTCTCTTCTGAAAATGAAGCAGGTATAAGACGTACACGGTGTCCCAATTCATTGTTCCGCTCAAAGTTAGATTCTCATGATAGAGCTTCAGTCTGTCGCTCTTTGTCGGTCTGCGATCAGAATGCCTGGAAAAAAGTCAAAAGTCACAATCGTCCAAGGCGGATTTCTTGTTTAGCCTCACGCCATTCGTATTTATCACATTCACGTCATATAAATAAGTCCCATCATTATAAAGATCCAAGTGATTCTTCGTTGCTTGTTGGATATCAAAGTGATTCGGGTTTACTAATTCATCGCTCAACAAATTATGTACGAGAGTTCCATTCTGATTGTGAGGAGTCGGGAACACATCGGTATAAACACTTTGAAAAATTGAGTGTCAGCAGGAAAACCAGTCATCATGTTCTGTATAATGCTGATAGTAAGCCAGGACATTGCTATTCTGTTCTCAGACCCCTTGATAAAGCTTCACTTCGGCATCTGCAAGTCAACTCGTCTTCTGGCTCGACTAAGATAGAAGCTCATCGCTCTTGCCTACCACTCGAACTTAGCTATATAACTGGTAATACAGACGTACATAAGCGCCCAACAATCTCGTCTCGCGTTTCATCAGCGAAGGACGACGAACACATTGTGACTTCTGAAGAGTCGTCAGCTATTCATATCAGTAACTGTTCAAATATTAATTCAAGTAATTCCAGTCATGGAGCTTCTAAACGTGATGCTAACATTTATATTGTTGGTGCCGTTCAAAACCTGCCATTTCGCCGTCATAGTCCGCGCAAAGTTATTCGCAAGGTTTATACTGGTAGTCTCACCATACCAAAAATACTTAATCGCAAAAGAATTCCTACTCTACCTACTAATCCATTAGGCGGTCCGAGTGTTAGCATGACAGTTACGTCTACCAATTCTCTGACGAATACTTTGGCGACTAATTCTATCGTTAGCGCTGTTTCATGTTCGACATCAAGCAGTTCAGTTGGCCTAAACTCATGTGCACCAACCCTTCTTTCCATGACGCTCAATCGGTACCCATTTATTCTGCAGCAACTCAACTCAGACGCTTACAAGCTACTGCAACATCGTTAAGCATCGTGCAAAATCCTGTATCAACTACTGAGCAATCAAAAATAAACGTTCCTCCTTTAGCTGTTGTACCTTCAGTTATAACTGATCCACAGACTGTAACCAAAGTAAAGATGCAGAATTCCGATATCACAGCTACACTTCATGACGCTCTTGATCAACCGGAGGCAAGTGCATCAGTTGAAACTACTAATCACGAAGATATACCTACAGATTACCTGTCAAGGTCTGTGACTGTCGAACGTGTTACCAGTGAAAATTACTGTGAACAGAATATCTCAAAAACAAATCCAGCTGACGCTAATGATTCCATTACTAAAACGCCGGAAAATGAAGTGGATGTAAAAGATTTCGTAAGTGAAGTGTGTTTCATCTAAGATACTCATGCTCACCATGTTTTTTTCGCAAGACAATTTTATTGCACACTGATAAACTATAGAATATAATTTTATTAGCACATTGTATCATTCAGTTTCTTGTTACACGTTCGAGATTGCTAATTTATTTATTTATTTATTATTTTTTTAACACATAGATATTGGTACAAGGAGGCACCAAATACATATGCGCCACACAAATCTCATTCGATATGTGTGAGGGCTGTGATACTGCCCGGGTGCCCAAAGTGAAGCAGGTGGTTTTCTTAAGGGGCCACTCTCTGAGCCTTCGACCTGAAGGTCTGATCCACAAGGCAGTGGAGCATCGTAAGGAGATGGAAGCCGGTGGCCGACAATGGGTTCATACGCCATTTGTTCCCTCAGGATACTGGAGTCCATGTGCACCACTGTTTTGGAATCCGGTTAAAGCGCCGGACATTCGCTTTTCGTCCTCATTTTCGTAAACAACACCCCCGCCACGAGAAGGCAGTGAGTAGGACTTCCCTGGCAGAGGCAGAGAGCATTTCAAGGGGGGAAGCGGACTTTTCCCACTCTCGGCTGTACCAGGGCATTTGGGGGCAATGTATTTATAAACTTGGACTAAGTCAATCCTTTAGATTATCTGTTTTTTTTTATACCGACTACTACACTAAACAAGTAGTATTATTTAGGGGGGTTGAATATACTGTATATAAATGGCACTTGATAATCCACCGAATACTTGGATGAACGAACTATTTAAGGTTAATTGTTGAGATAATTTGCGAGAGTTTGTGTTAGATTACCATGATTCAAATAACTTAAAAAGACATTCTGCAACGTATGTTAACTTTGTAGGACTCGCGAACTTGAAACACTACCAACTCGTTACTTTAGCTCTCTCAGTCAGCATTAATTATTATGCGATTTGAAATTTTTTCTGGTTAGGTTATCTTCACTGGGTAGATGTAGTCCAAGTCCTCATTTTTACTTATTCTCAAGTCAGTAGCTGTAAACTTCTGGTTACGTCTGTTGTTTTTAGAATTACTAGTTTTATTTCTTTTTTCCTTTTTTAGTTGTCAGATGTGATTTCTAGTGAAACTGATATAAAAAGTGTGGGTCATATAATCACATCCGGTACGGATATGTGCCCTTTAGGTAGCACTCCATACAACGTAGTCAGTGCTGCCAGTTCATATACTTTTGCTGCCACAAATTCCATCAACGATGAAGAAGCTGTTTTAGGTATGGATGATTCCCAAACACCAGCTACGTCACTTAGTGCAAGTCAACTGCTCAAATTGAAACGTCTTCATGATGAAGTTGGGCGACCAATTCAACGAAGAGACTCCAAGTCTCCTCGCTGCACTTCTCATACACCATCACAGGTCCAGTCTCCTATATATCTACCTGCTCGTTCTCAAAATCAGTCACAAGTAAGCAGTAAAATTTTTAGATCTTAATTTTATGTTACTATCTATAATATATGTTTTCGAATGATTTGTGAATCATTTACGGGAGAAGTAATTTGCATTCATTTCATATGCTATCCATATATCAGATGTAAATTTGTCTCGGTATATACTACTAAACTGTTAAAGTTTGATTCTATGAAAACAACTACAAGTTATTCATCTGGTGGGTTAATGTTTCTGCGTCACTTTAGAAAATGAATATAAGTACTCAGGAATTCGGGGTTTCCGGTTATCACAAATAATAAGATTTAGGCAAGTAGCATATCAGACAACTGGTTTTACGTATCAAATTCTAATGTCAAATTCTAATCTGAATTCTTCATGTCCCTTTTTTTCTTCCCAAATTTATTTCACTGGATTATACTCCTTGAATAACATCTTCAAACGCTAATCTTTCCGATTACTGCTTATACTTTTACTATCTCTAGCATTTCGGGATTTGAATCGACAATTGTATCTCTGTGCTAATGTGGTGTGGCAACTCGAAGTGGTGTACGTACGTACGAAGTTCTACGTTGTTCCTCACTGACTGACTGACATATTAAAGGTTCTATATCTTATATAATGAGTTGTCAAATCTTCACCATAAACACCACATTGTTTCCAGTCTGGTTATTCCTTAGACTATTTTTGAGGTTAGGGTTTTTTCCACGCCATCTTAAGCATAATCTTCAACTCTACTTCAATGGACTCCAAAATTGTAAATTATGTACTTCTAGTCAGTACAAATCATTGTATTAAACCTTTTATTCATTTATTTAAACACAAGCATTGGTACAATGAGGTGACAAATGTATATGCGCCACACTTCGTCATTCGATTTGTGTGGGGGCCAGAATAATGCCGGGGCGCCCAAACCGAAGCAGATGGTTTACCTAGGGAGCCACTTCCCGAATTTTCGACCTAGAGGTCTAGTCCACAAAGCAGCGGAGCAACATTAGGAGATACACTCCCACGGTAGACCGTAACCAACAATAGGTTCATACATCATTTGTTCCCTCGAGATCCTGGAACTCATGTGCACCATTGGTTTAGAATTGGGGTTTTCCAACTCCCGTAAGTGAATCCCCCATATCTACTATACTGGTTAAAGCGCCGAATATTCTTTTCCATCCTCTCAATTACATGAACAGCCTACTGGCTGCGGGAAGGCAGTGAGTGAAACTTCCCTAGAAGTGGCTGTTAATGTTAATATCTATCATCTGCAAGGTTTTCGTGCTGCAAAAGGGACTCCTCCTTAGTGTTATTCCAGTTGGTGTACGTTGTTCATCACCTAGTATTCATTATGAATTATGTATTTCGTAAATTGGTTTTTAAGTAATAATGCCTCGATTGAATGGTTACTGAACACATCTAGTATAATATAGGACAATGTAAGCTGTAATTACCGTAAGATTTCTAATAGATCCACACGAAGGGCTTCGACAAATTGATCAATACACCCATTTTTTAATGCAGCTAACCGCAATTATTCACTTATTCAACCATCCCCATTTCAAGTGAATAAAGTATAACACATGAGTGTATGATGTGCTTAATTTGGATCTTTCACTACCACTTCATCTATGCATTTCCAATCCTCGATACTTCAAAAACTAGAAGATGGTTCTCAATTTTATCATTTGAGCGGATTTGTGTGAATGACAGTGATCATTTGAAGTATTCACTGGGTATTTTCAAAGTTTTTGGTGTCATTCAGTGTAATAAATAATGTTATACTAAGATGAAATACGTTGATGAATTAGCCTAGTCTTCAGGTTTCACAGTTTTTGCTCAGTATACCTTTAATGTGTTGACTAAATGAAACGCCATAATTGTTTTTTGGAATATGCACAAGCAAAATCTCATATTTTATTGATTCAAAGTTAACTTGGAATCGAAATGCGGCGAAAGTATTTTCAGTTTTTTGTTATATTCAAAATTTAAGTATTCATATGTTCATTGTTTAACGTGATAAATATCACTAAATCTAACTGCTTAACATCCCTATACGAGCTCTTGTCACATGTCATATAAAGACTTTAGATTTACAATATGTAGTTACTACTGCATATAAGTGCGCAAATGAATATTGGTAGTTGTACTGATTAGACTTTTCAATGCCTTGTTAACAACTGCCTTTATTACTCTAGGTTCTTATGATCAACCAAAATAGCTGTTGTCAAATCTTACGGAGTCTTCTAGAAAGGTGCGTCCTTTCGTTCATTTGCTTCCCAGTTTGTTGGTTGTTTACAACTTATTGTTGTCATTTATCAGTTTATTCCGTTTTAACCGCATTTTAAAGTTGGAAAAATTGTGATTTTTTTAGTCACTCGAATCGGAAGCAATTGTCACACGGTGCCCACAAACTTCCCAGCTTCAACAATCTCAGCAGTCCATTCAATACACCTCGTCAGTATTGTCAAACACCTCTGGGCTTAACTCCGAATTTCGACCATTCCCCGTGCATTTAAATCAAGACCCTGCTCATAAAAGTAACCCAAAACTTGAAATAGATGATGATGACGATGATGATATGGAAGATTTCGAACTCAAAAACGTTACGAAAATGTATGAACCTTCTGTTGCTACTTCATTTCAGTCTTCTTCTATACCGTCTCATAAGTTAACGTCAAATCGTTTTTTCGATAACAGCGCCTTATCTAGTGTACCAACAACTATATCTTCAGAACCAGAAGGTCTTCCTTTTATGAGTGCTCACTACCCTTCAGTAATGAGATCACCTCGCATAAATTGGCCAATTGGACGTCCTATTTTTAATCCAACACTTACTGGCAGCTCGAGGTTGCCATCACAATGTTTTAATCCTTTAGCACCTGCTACAGTTCGTTGTTTTACGGAAGCAGACCAAAATACAGGTATGTTGAGTAATTAGTAGATCAGTAGTATAATACAATTTGGCTCAACAATGAGTATACAAATAACAAAAACGCTACTTTATTCGGTCACCAAATTTAAGAGACTGGAATCTGTACTTAATAAGTTTAAATTTCGTTATTAACTCTGTAAATTGTAATATTTATCCCCAGTTTGACTCCAAGTTTAGGTTGATTTCTGGGATACTGGTCCATCTTTTATCCATTCTAGTCTGGCAGCATATCTGATTCCTAATTTAATGGTGCAGATCATATCGCGTCCCTAAATCACTAGTCCTCAAGTGGCTTATCCTAATGATTAAAGCACTCGGATTCCTACTGGCTAGTGGCACTCTCGAATCTGACTTTGCTCGCTTTTCTTTAGGCGATCGGTTAGTGTCATCAACCTTCACACAATTCGACCTAAATCCTGGTACGTAAACTTGTGTTTGATAAGTGGGTTATATTAGTTTTTCAGGATGTTCACTTACCTTTATTTAGCTTTGATATATCCATCCTTCCAGTAGTACCTTTTTCTGCACCCGGGTCTTTAGACACTCATATTTTACCTGACGCCCCTCTGATCTGAGTTGGAACTGGTTAGTCCTGTCAAACAAAATGGCTTTAAAAAAACCAATATTTAAGTTATTTGCATCTGTAAGTTGTCGGATAATGCTTTAGGAACGATCCCCAATAATATCTTACTTAACAGTACAGAATGGTGTGTGGTTAGTTACATTAGCAGTTTTGTTAACATTTCTCGAGCTAACCGAACTACTTCAGTTACGTGTATTTCGGTGTGTTATGTGTCATGTATACAGGCTATCAGTGTACTCTTTTCTGTTACATGACCTAAAAACGTGACCATTTAAGTAATATAACCTACTCAAGTGAGCAACGCCGAGGTCGGGTACAGAACATAGTGTAGAAGAAACAAATCAATCAGTAGTTTTGTGAGCTCAACTACTTCATTGGTTTGTTTTAGTGTGCTAAGGAATTAAATATCCTTTAAGGTCAGATGTAAACTTTTTATGGAGATGTTGAATAAGAATTTATTTTATATAACTTGTGTTGTTCGGTGCTACGTAGTTCATACTTTCATGTTTATTAAGTAAAAGAGAAAATATCTTTCCGTTCCTATTTAAATGATTATAGCTGAAAAGTATGCAACTGACTATATCCCTTATCTTGTTTTCAGCTCAAATTGATCATTGTTTAAAGATTTGCTTCTATGAAACGAAAATTGCCTAATGCTACTTGTAGTTAACTTATCACAGATATCCAAACAGCCGGTATAACAGTTAGTCTGATAACAGTATCTGCTTACTCAGTTAAAAAGTGCTGTATCTGACTAGTTGTATGGGATATATGGTGTGATTCTTTATCTTTCACCGTAAATACTTTCTAACATATTTAACAATTTTGTCTGTAGAGTTTAAATGTTATACTTGTCGACATAAACTACTCAGTTCTATCTTCAAGTCTTTCTCTTGTTTCGCAGTTTAGATAGGAAGCTGTGTTTTTTAAAATTTATTGAAGTTTAGACTAAGCTAACACAATAAATTATGTTTGTTGTTCATGTATCATACAGTGTGAGTGTTGACACAAAATTCTCTATCAATAGATATTTTTTATTCAAGTCACAAATAGTATCATAAGACTACGTGAATTGGTACATTATTTAGGAACTTCACAAATAGGAAAGGTATTTATCTGTTATATTCTCTAGTTGATGATTTTGCTATTATTTTTGAGTATCTCATTGTCTCTTTACATATGCTCAGTTACCACTTACCTCAACGGGAGCATGTTTGAGTGGTGTATAAATAAGCTGGTTAAAAGGTAGGGGCTACCAAACTGATATATGGCATCAAATCATGATTGTTGATGTGAGTTATACTGGTAGCAGCAGACTACCTAGTTGGAGTTCACGATACAATCGCGATCGATCTTTGGAGACTTTGGATGATATGGGTCAGAATCATTTACAGTGGTACAGATACATTCACTCTCTATCTTTCTCTTCATCTTGGATCCCAGCATTTTTTCATAGATACGTTCCCACTGCATCGTTCTGAAGCATATCCTCACCGCTTAGTCTTTCTTATTGTTATTGATACTACGTTACTTTATTCTTTTGCCATACATTCTGTCAATTTCTTATTGTGCTTATATGGTATAGTAACATGGACTAACGCACATCCGCGAGATTCAACATTAACTGATCTGATCTCATTGTATCACATCGATTTCCGTTTCAGGTAGTCGTATTGTTGGTCAAGGTCTTTCTACACCGCGAGCGTCAACGAATGAAAGTGTTGGTGATCACTTTTTACTGTCAGGCAAACCCTTCATTTCCTCTTCCATATCTCCTATTTTTTCTGGTTCGGGTGGAATCCCTATTATGACCACTGTCCAATCCTCTACAAATGCTTCTGTATGCTCAGGGCCGCCTAAAAGAACAGTTGTCCACAAGTATCACTCTTTTAGAAAAATTTTACCGAAATCAGATAGACCAGTCATGCTTCCGACTGCACCAGGATTCAGCATATCTCCATTCAGTACGAATACCGCAGCACTAGGTAGATTTTCAGTACCCAGTAGTAGTTTTGGCATGTATAGACCTGGTCCACTTAGTGCTAAGGCTGTTTTACCTTGCGAAGTAACCACTAGCAGAACTTATATCATGGACATCGGCACATCAAACCTAACTGATGATAGTTCATCAATTCCAATTCGACGCAATTTGTGTGCTACTTCTTTAGCGCTTGCTAACTCAAACCAGTCAATATTAGCGACTAATCCAGCATCTCAGTTACTTAAAAGCCTGCTCGAACGTGACGACTCGCGCTCTGCCACCGGTATTGTTACAACATTTGCTGCAGAAAATAATTTGTCGTTTTCTATGTCTACTGTTGTTAGCTCTTCAAGCCTCACTTCTGGAAGTGGGACTACACTTTGGAATCAGCCGGCTCATCAAAGTCGTGGAACATGGCAACTAGGTAAACGAGCTGTCAGTAGTTCCAACCATCGCTCTCCTTCAGATAGTGTATCTCTCAAAATATCTCAGTCTGTTTTCCCTACTTCACCCAGCTCTCAACCTCACTCCTCTCCGAATTCATCAAATCCCCCACCTATTCTCCCACCAACTTTACGTTTGACACCAGGACCGACTTCTCGATTGCAACAGCTTCAACAACATTATCAACGACAACAAGAGGCTCAAAGACGCTTCGAACAGGATTCATTAAGTAAACTAGGTGTTGCAGACAGTGTATAAACATAAGCCGTAGGTAAGCCTGTCGTAACTAATTTTACCCAATCATATATTTACCGTTTACCTTTTTTAGCGATAATTTTCCTTAAAAGCGTAACTTCCTACATCCTTAAGTAAAAAAACTGCCCCTATACGTTTCTTTGAATTTGAAGCATTGATATTTTAAGTAGAATTCATAACCACAGTCTACTCTATGCATATCTGGATGTTATCAGCTATTGGCACGATATGAATTGCCCAATAGCGGTACATGAACCTGTTTTTCACTAGCTTTGTTTGATTTTTTGGAATGTTTAAAACCTTCATTTATTTTCAGGTTACATAAAGTGTCAGCAGTGATGAGGGTATCGGGCTATAGGTTAATTGTGTTAAGCTAATTACTATTTAATATCCAAATGTGGTAACATCTGTTGGGGATTCTCACTAGTTGAATTAGAGACAGTGACTTTGTATGGCCACATTATCCTCTGTTTATTACATTACAACGCAGTATCGCAGTTTCCAAAGTTTCATAAGGAAATAAGTAAAGAAAAAAGTACTATTAACTCTAGTGATGTTCTAAACATTTTCTAATTTATCTGTCTTCTATCACCTATGTCACAGATAACCATTATTGTAAATGTTAGTTTACTGTTAAAGGTATGTAGCAGCATATCATAAGAACACCATATAAAATCTGGAATACATCTTTTATGACTTCTCATTATTCATTTTGAAGTGGTATCAATTACTATGTTAAATGTAATTTATTCAATTCCATATCAAGGTGACTAGTTTTTTCGCGTTTTAAGAATTACATCATCTAATCATTTACCAATTCTATTATAATTTCGTTTAATTACTTATTCATTGTCAAAGAAGCGTAAATGCTATATTGCTTTCAAAGTATATTATTCTACACCCTGTAGATAGAAAATCCGACTCCATCTTTCTTCAAAATTGACACTGTTCAATGAACTGTTTTGTTTCATCAGTACTTTTTCGTCCATCAGAATTATCATTTCAAATATATTTCCCTATGTTGTTTTGTTTACATGATGATCCTACTATTTTACATAATTTTTTTTCACGCTTTTTTGTACTTTGTTTGTTTTACAACAGTTCGCCTTCTCTTGCTGTCCGTATTAATACTAAAAAGAAATGAAAATATTTAACTCATGCTTGTTAACTTAATCTGTAAAATTTTTGCCGCATACACTGTAGCTCACGTGTCATTCCTTGTACACTATATCTCCACAACCTGGCAGCAACAACGGCTACTTCTCAGATGTTTTTTTTCTTTCTCCTGGATTCACTTCATGGTGTAAATATGATCTAATAAATAATTACGTATATTTCATAACTACTACTATTAATAATCTATTAAAAATATATTTCTGCATACATTATAGATAGTTGAAAGTTGTGACTATATTTCTAGCAATTCTACTTGTTAATTATTAATGTGTAATCTGAATATACATGTATGTAATTCATTCAGTCACATTGTGAACGTGTATTTGATTGGAAATCTTACCTATTGATCCACCTTCTCTCTTCTCATTCATACAGAGTTCACATCAATGCATTCTATTTCATATTTAAATAAATTTTATTCGTATATTTTTTATTGTTCAGAATATTCAGACCAAAACAACATACATAGATACATAATCCCAAATAGTCCCTTCTCTAATTCATAAAACCTATGTAATTTCCATCTTCTTGGTGAGATTTTTAACTCTCGCAAACAAAACCTACAACCTCAACATGATATATATAACGAAGTTTCTATTTTCACTTGTGATGTCTCTTCGTAATTATTTCACCATTATTTTCCTTAGCTTCATGATGTCATAATTGTCTTTTTCCTTAAAAGTAAACGTATGTGAGAGCTTTAACTATTGAATCTATCCTTTTAAACTACAATACCACTATTCATTTAATTAGTGGTATTGTAGACAGCGACTGGTGTGAGAGTGTTATATGTGTTCGATCTATTTGGTCATTTATGTCATAATTATTCAGTTATGTTTAGATAGTGAGTAACTATACTGGATTCATTTTTCTCTTGTTTGCTCAACGTCTGATGAGCTTTGTTTTTTATTTTCAAAGCCAAGTGGAAACTTGTAATTATAATATTAATGTAAAAATTACATAAAGTTATGTTAATAATCACACTTACTTGTTAAACACACCTCGTCTTACTGTTGCGTCTTATACAAAATGGTAACTCCACAGATATATAAGCGATGGGCTGATGGTTGTGTGTCCGATTTCTAAACACTAGCCAGTAGGTTCGAATCCCTCTGCCTATTTTGCTCGGGTGGTATCACAAACCCTCATTTGTGGTGTGGTTCAAAGCCAAGTACGGGAAGTGTCTGCTTGAAAGGTTTAATAATTGCTGTCTAGTAACAACCAGGCTTATTTGTGTTGTGGGAATAAAAAATATTGGTTGACTCATACTGGACAGGTTCAGTTGTGAGGACGTCAATCTTGTTTTCTACAAAATTTATCTATTCTAATTAAATTGACTGCGTTCTTCAACTGGCCACATTTTATATCTGCAGAAGGATAGGAAATAAGCTAAAAGACAAGAAGTGAAGATTAACTAGAAAAAAAGCAAATTCAATTAGAGAGTATCGAGTAAATGGTGATACATTGATCATGACTTAGTTGAACATAAAGAACTCACTTGGGTTACTGTACTATTTCTTGAATACTGCCTTTTTGAATCATGATTACAGTTATCGCGTAAATCTTACGAAATGACAATTTTTACCCTTCTAAATAGCTCAGGCTAACATTCATGGACTAATGTGATGGAGTAGATGGTGTTCGGGCTTTAGGTAAAGCAAACTTCCATCTTTAAGATCCTAACCAAAGTGGGTAAAATAGGATGGATGAACAAAAATCAGTGACTTCATCGTAATGTCTGATTTGACTGAAAGTTTGAGAAAAAGAGTCCTTATTTGGTTAGTCCCTCAGTGGAGGTATTATAAAACTCGAGCAATGAGACGCAGCTACAGTTGAGTCAGCACGAGCTTCTTGCTTTCAAGGCCCGTTGAAGGATGTGTTTACGCAGGTTTTGCGTTCCCGGATTATTTTTAAGATTTTACAAAAGCTATTTTCTAGCTGTCACAAGATTCTTGTTATTTTCTTTTAACATAGAAACAATCAGTGACCAAAGTGATTCGAATTAAGTTATGTCTAGCTTCCAAAACCCTGGCTAACCTGTCACTCACTTTATTCAGTAATCGTGGGTTTTGATCCTTTAAAACATCTGAGGTTGACTCAATATCTAGGCGCTTTTGTCATCCTCAAATTCGTTATGACTTTTCCAATATTGTTATGAGATGGAGCCCTGAAATCTATATGTTGTGAAATCATTTAATGAATAGCGCGGAACTGAAGATTATCTTATGTTTACCGTCCAGTCACTCAATCGCAATAATAATCTTTCTAACTTTAATCCCAGTCTCGATGACAAATCTAGGAAGTATCTTATGTTGTGTCTATGACTGATATTCTTACAATTCCTTTCGCTTGCCTTAGGATCATTGCATAGACATTTTGTCAATCTACATTTCATTCACTCATTTCGTATTGTGATAACAATTCAAATCGTGACAGTTAAGATCACTGAATATACATTTGGTAGTAGTTTTCAGAGCAAGCTTAATCCAATTGTTGATACTCTATTTACATACTATCCATTGATATCAGTCAGTCAGTAAGGAACAACGTAGAACTTCGTACGTACGTACACCACTTCGAGTTGCCATACCACATTAGCACAGAGATTCAAATCCCGAAATGCTAGAGATAGTAAAAGTATAAGCAGTAATCGGAAAGATTAGCGTTTGAAGATGTTATTCAAGGAGTATAATCCAGTGAAATAAATTTGGGAAGAAAAAAAGAGGGACATGAAGAGTTCAGAAGATTAGAATTTGGGAGAACACAAAGAGTGTATGCACCTGCGCCATTGCAAACGATTTTGAGCCATGTCATTCAGGGTCTCTGACCATCAGTTGCTATCATCTCGCGGACCCCAACCAGGTGGTCTACACCTACCAACATGACTCAGTCTACTTGTCAGTGACTTCATGGACTTGTGCCATGTTTTGGTCTGTCCACCCCTAGCTTTCTTCCAATCTACTCCCATGCAACAAAACATCGCATGTCGAGGCAGTCGGTGGTTGGGCATACGTAACACATGTTCCAGCCATCTCAACTGATGAAGTTTCACTACGTCATCAATTGATTTGCCATCCTTACCTAGTACCCGTTTCCTAACAACTGCGTTACATACTCGATGGTCCCAGGATATACGAGCAATATTTCGAAGACACCTATGATCGAATACTAGTGACCTATGAATATCCTCTACTCTTACCGGCCACGATTCACTGCCATAAAGTAGGACGGATCGAACTGCTGCGCAGTAAACACATCCTTTGGTTTATAGACGGATATCTCCCCCACGCCATAAATGACGCAAGTTGGCAAAAGTTGGTCGGGCCTTCTGTATCCATGCTGAGATTTCGTCACATACCAGATTACAAGGGCTGATGAGACTCCCATGATAAGTGAAGCGATCGACACGCTCAACTACTTCACTCCCTATCATTAGTTTGGGTGTCGATGCAACTCAATCCTGAAGTAACATTTTGCATTTCGAGGGGGTGAATCGCATCCCGAACATGCTTGCATTGTTGCTTAGAGTGGTCAGAAGACTCTGCATTTTGTCAGCGTCTTCACCAAATAGAACTATGTCATCGGCATATTCCAAGTCAACAGGTGAATCTTCCGGTAGAAGTTCAATCCCTGTAAATTTAAATGAGGGGATTGTTATCTCTAAAAGTACGTCGACCACAAAGTTGAATAAGAATGGGGAGAGTGGACAGCCCTGACGAACACCACTTGAGGTAATCAATTCTGATGACAGTTCGCCATAAGCTCTCACTCTACTAGTTGTGTTCGAGTAGAGAGCCTTTATAAGGTTAATGTACTTCTTTGGTACTCCTTTCGGTGACAAACGCTGACATAGAACCTCACGATCAACAGAGTCGAATGCCTCCTTAAGGTCGAGAAATACTACGATGGTGGGGAGTCTGAATGTGTGTCTGTGTTCTAGAACCTGACGTAGTGTGAATATCTGATCTATACAACCACGTCCAGGTCGAAAACCAGCCTGGTTTTCTCTAATCTGCTCTTCACGAGCTTTGATTAGGCGTCGAAGTATTATTGAAGCTAATATTTTAGGCACTATATTAGTTAAGCTGATTCGTCTGTGATTGTCACAAGAGGACTTTTGTCCTTTCTTATAGACTAGCACAGTCAGTGATTGAGACCAGTCAGATGGGATTACGTCCAGTTCCCAAATTCTACCTATGACCTCAGTTAATCTCACTGTTAATACTGGACCACCATCCTTAAATACCTCAGGAGTAAACCTGTCAGGGCCTGAGTCTATTGATATAGTATTTTATAGTGTTTAAAAATTTATTCATGAAGCCACTCTGTTCTATTGGGTATTTCTACTTTGCTTTCAACTTAATTTTAACGTTTAATGTTGTGCGAGTTGAAATTTTCAATGTATAAACTAAAATGTTAAAAAAAGCTCATACTTGTTATCGTTATTTCCTTAGAAATAATATTTTTATTTTGTCATTATCGGTGAGTACACTTGGGATCTACTTTAGTATAGAGTATGTGTATTCTAACTTTCTAATTTTATCTCATTAGCCAAAAAGAAAACCAAAAATACAATGAATGAATGTGATTAAATTTATTTTTGAATTTAATGAGACTTACAGTGATTTATGGATTTTCCTCAAATTCTAATATCGGTTGTAGACATTTTATTCAGACACTGAATACTAACCGGTGAAGGATTGTTGTTATAGCAACTGAAGATCGACTGCTTGGAGTTAGTTGTGGTTTTATAATTTCTGGAATTATTTTTGTTGAAGTAGACAGTAGTTAAACTTGTCTCGGGACCCAAAGCTCATATTCGTTTTACGTATAGCTTATGCATACTTACAAACTTGAAAGTAGTTGAAATATTAAATATATATTTCTCGCAAAAAATTTTACATGTAGGAAATTACATCTTATCAACACAATGGGAGGAAATTGACGAATTGCACAACAAAGAACTGAAAATAATAGTTTTAAACAAGGCACAAAAACGATATATGTATAAAATAAAATAAGCAACATAGATTTAAGGGAACGTGAATGATATATTGGATCCAATTTTGAGCCATAAAACCCCTTTTCAGTTATTGGTTAAAGCTGTCTCATGAGTCCAAATCAGGAAGTCTAAAGATGAGGATGCGTAAAGTAACTTTACTGTCTCATGAAATGACGATTCTCTACCTCATCATCCGATTTACTGCATTTCGATAATGTAATAAGAAGACGAACTATGTGATATATTAGCTCAGTACATTTCAAACTATCTGATCACACATATGCTTGTTAAGAACATTTACCTATGACCCCAGATCTACGCTCAGAATTACTCGGTATTTGGTCCCACCAATCAATACTAGCAACATACACGCACTTTCTTCCTGAACGAAGTATTACACAGAATACTCACCCGTTGGTTTTTAGACAGATATCTTGCCAACTTCATAAACTGAGGAAGCTTCTTGAATGTGTGGTAGGATGAGATGGTTTTAGTTTTGGGACACTTAACAACTCTTAGGTAGAATTATTCTTGAACCAAAGTCAATTCTAAAGCTACTTCTTTCATTTGAAGAGAGAGAAATACTTCAACATTCTTTCATTGTTACTAAATATATTAAAGAAGCTGCATTTGGTTAATGTCTTCAAAAAACTGAAATATGTCATCTGTGTACTATAAGTTGGTGAGTGAGTCTCCTCATAGGAGATTAATAGTTAATATCTTGATTGAAAGAGTGATTTTAGACGAAAATTTGGGACGAAATTGAATGAAAGTGGAGAATGTCAACATTTCTGATGAACGCTATTCAGCATAGGTAATCCATAAGATGATTTTCTATAAGCTGAGTTGACCTAGAGCATTCGAATAGCGGGTCCTCAGAATGCTTACGTGCTATTTTGGTATCCATCCCAACGAATAACACTGGTATAAGTCTTTCAGGCTGATGAGGTTGAATACCGATTTTAATAATAATAATAATAATAATAATAATAATAATAATAATAATAATAATAATAATAATAATAATAATAATAATAATAATAATAATGATGATGATGATGATGATGATGATGATGATGATAATAATAATAATAATAATAATAATAGTAGTAGTAGTAGTAGTAGTAGTAGTAGTAGTAATAGTAATAGTAATAATAATAATAATTATTATTATTATTAAAGGCTTTATTCAATATTATATTTTGGTACAATATAGAATTCTCAGCACAAAATATTTCAACAAGTTTCTTTTACAAAAAACAAATGAAGACAAAAAGAAAGGAAAAAAGGTTAAAATAATTTAAAAAAACTGTACAACTTTCCGAATTAGAGACATGTTAAGAATGCAGGTTATTGACTATGTCAACTCTAACAACCTGTTCGTCACAGAGTATATTTGCTAGGTAAGGTATTATAGAACTTTTATACTTTTGCTTGCCTGCATGGATCTTGATCTCGTTCTACCAGAAGATATACAAGGGAAACTATGACCATGCATTAGTATGTAGAAATAATTTATGAAATTTATCGAGGGATGGGGATTCAATCATACGTTCACGGTCATACCTGAAACCTGTTTAATGTCCTTGGTTTTGCTGTTTGTCAACTCTGGGTTGGCTACAAACGATTATAGAAGCTAATATCATAGATACCATGGACATCACACTAATTCCTCTTTGATTTTCGCAGGGAAGTTTTTATGTTGCCTTATAAACTTGGACGACTAGACGCTGAAATTAGTTGGGTGATATGACGTCTATCTCCTTGAGTCTTCTTAATATTTCAGTTAATATAACTGGTAACATTACCCTATCGTCCAAAAAGATCCATATAATTGACATCTTAAGCCCTACTTTTCTCGTTTTATCTTAGGTAAAACTCTTTAAGCCCATTCGATGTTGACAAACTTATAACTGTCTTACATATGAGCTTTTAGGGAAAATTATTTCACTGGAGAGTAGATGAAGGTATATTGAACTGTCCCACGAAGTTTCCCACTTACCATTCCAGACACCTGAATTAAGAGCGAACCCGAGTTTCATCGCACTGACAACTACCATTTTATGCCTAATCCCTAATGAGTCTACATAACTGTTTAATACTTATAAAATACTTAAAAAAGTTAATACTAACAGTTAATTAATCCTTTGACGCATATAATGTGGTTAAAATTGTAATTAGTCTGTGGTGGTCGGTATTCAATATAATCCTTAACTTCGTATACAGTTCGTCCTGATAACCGTCACTAGATAACGCCCCAACGGTTTATTAATCAGAAGGCGAATACAAAGTGTTAATTAAGTTTATTATTGCACCACACACAGATGACCAAAATTACAAGTACACTAAGCAAGTATGAAAGAGTAGTATCGAAATGCAAACGGGCAAGCAAGTGAACGTGTGAGTCGCATGAGCGAGTCAATGAACAGGGTTAAAATGTAAACACATATACATAGTGAAATGAATCAATCATCGAATCAATTAAGCGACTAATAGTAAAACTGGCAGAATGAATATATACGTAGGCAGTAAGCAATGCTCAAGCATACATATTCATACAAAGTGCAACAATAAGAAAGGTACAATGGTATAGATAAGTTGTTATTGTACGGATGACTCTGTCCGTTAAATAAGTCAACAAATGGGCTTAACCAAATTATATGTGAACAAACTCAATTGCACGTGAGCTGCTATAAGACTAGTAAAAAGGGCGAGACTCTAATTTATGGACGAGCCAATCAGAGGCGTTTTAGAGATTTCAAGTTCAGTGCTTAATGCTAACGTACGATAGGTTCTCAGGGGATTTTGTACATAACGTGATAATTTAGCGACTGTAACATATAAAACGGCGCGACTATAATTTGTGGACGAAACAATCAGGTATAAGATAATAGATCTCGGATTTTAACACGAAAGCCTTTCATCCATTTGGCTAAATAAATTTGTGGCATTATAGCTTGATATCAGTTTGTGATGAAAACCCCATATGTAATTCCTAACTAAGGCAAATTACGACACTTATTGCGAACTGGATAATAAAAGCACCAGTAACACTGGCTGCAGCCAGGTACTACAATATATACAGATGTTTGGAGAGCGTACAGACTCTTAAATAGGCTTGGTTATGTGCGTCATGTCGTTATCCACAAGTAGCATTTTGTGCACCCAACAACCGGGGTGCACATAAACCATATTGAAGCTATGTGGTAGAGGCTGAAAGAGTTTTTGAAACTTTATCATGGCTCCAGAGGTCGACTATTCTGTAGCCGTATGGATGATTTCTTCTACTGCATGCATTACGATTTTATAACCTCTGAACCTCTTTCTAACCTTGACAAGTTTTTGAACCACGTATAGGAAGTGTATCCACTTTATTTCCTTGGTTTTGTAAAACATATTTTTACTCTATACTGACTGTTTGCTGATTGGCTAATACTTCTGAAGTTCGCTTAAGATTCATTCAAAGGTCGTCCATAAATTAGAGTCTCGCCAATTTCGGACAAGAAATTGGATCCGTGTCCGTAAGTCTATCGTGCATCCGTTTTTTGATGTTCAATATGTGTGCCGTATCGAGGATTTTTAAGCAATTTATCGTCCATTTGGTGGGTGACTGCTTTATATAATAGCATGATTGAAATGAAATCAGCATTGAGAATCATGCTCTTATATTCGACAGTCATTCATTAAATGAACGGAAAAATGCTTGAAATACTAGGTGTTGCACCTTTATTTGAACACTGAGGTAAAGGATAGTTAACCTCTCCACTATGAACAAATAAGTGAAAAAAAGATTATTAAGGTACTCAAGATTTTAAAAATTCTTGAAAATAAAAATTCTGGTGATTAATGTGTCAACTTATACCCTTTTCCGTTTCAGTTTTAAGTGCACAAAAAGTAAGCGAATACTGATGAATATTGTGGAGAATACCTTCATGATACGTAAGACAATTTAGTTTGTAATGTTATTTTGTTTTTAAATTGGCCTGGTTTATCAATCATTAAAAAATCATGGGCAACTGTAACGTCAAAAATCTGTTCAAAGGGAACGACAGTCAAAATAAATATCCGAACTGTGGCAATAACAATGACAAAGACCAATCAAGACCAAGGTCACTAGAACAAGCTGTAAGTCATATGCGGAGAAATTCAAATAGCTCATATCTATCTGAAGTCTGTGTTATTTAATTTGTTCAGAAGAACAATTAATTCATCACTGGCAAACCATCCAGCTTAGAAAACGAAACTCCAGCAACAGTCATTCACCTGAGTTACAAATCTTGTCCACAAAGTCTAAATCTACCAAACATTAAATTATTTTGAAATTATTGTATTATTATCATTACAGGGTTGTGGAGATTGCTGAATTTCATTGAAAGCATGAATCAATCAATGTTAAATCACCATTGAAAATCTGGAAGCACTAAATGGTTATTTAACCCTTGTACGAGACTAATCATCTGTGAGCATCTACGACTATGTACGGGGGAATCGAACCCAGCACCCTCGGTCTCACGCGCCAACACTAAACCTCTAAACCACTGAGTGAGAACCCAACGGTTTAATTACAGTAAATGAAATTCAACAATCTATACAACCTCTTACTGACAATTATCATGTGCTCGCTAGTGACTTGCAACAAATAAAAATTTCATGAGATCTATTGAGAAACCATGACCGGTGGAGCTAATTCGTGTCTAGAGGTTAATCTTTTGCGTGCGTTTTCGTGAGTGTGTACGATTGGGGAGTTCCGTACTGGGACGAGACGGTTATCCGATGCATCCAACCTTTGAATGATGGACTAAAATTGGTAGATTTATGGTTCCAATGAAATTCATATTATTATTACTAGCGTGATTGGTTCAAGCGTCAACTGTCTTATTGAATTAAATTAAGCAATTGACGTTCAGTTCATGAAGCCATTAATAGTGAGTCAGCATAACGTTATACAAAATTGTTGATGTTGAGACGTATGAGGTGATCCTAATCTACTGTTTTTTAGAGGTATTGAATGATGTGATTCGAAATTGGTCTCGTTGATAAAAATGTACTCATTATTGACTTTTGCGTTCAGGCTTATTATTAGCATAATTCCCCCAAATTTCACTTACCGATTTCATTTATTCCAGCCGAAATTAATATTTCTTATGTTTCGTTATAAAAAATATCAGTAATAACGTTGATGTCTCTCTATATGATTCTCTTTTCTCATTGTACTAATTTGGCTTGTGGCATGTAACTGAATAGGGGTTGATACGAATCGATATAAGGAAGAGGATAAGACTGGGGGAATTATTTAGGCACCAGTCACAAATTGGTAATCATTCAACCAATGACTCGATAATTATATCGAGATTACGCCGAATTTACTTATCTAGTTAATAAACATAAATGAATATAGTAAACTAGGCAGTAATTGATATAAACTTAAGGGTATCTTTACAATTTATCATGTCAAAAGATATAACTCCATTGACTAACAATAAAATAGATTATTGATCTGAATATTTGCTTCTTCCTGACAGATACGAATCTTTTGGTACCTACACTCGTATGTATTATTACCAAATGCTTTATTATCAAACTAATATATGTATTTAATAAATATTTCTTATAGGGAAGATTATTGACAAACAGCTTTTTTTGTGTACAAGATTGTTCAACGATGATAGTTTGTCATCCAGCATAAGATGAAAATGAATTCTTCAGATCCTAGGACGTACGTAGTATATTCAAATTTTTGAGTGAAATTTCAATGATCGCAATATTTCAATCGATTTGTTATTCTACACATACTAAACAAATATGAAGCTATTCCTAGTTTTCCGTGATTTATAATTAATATTGCTTTTGCAATAGAAACATACATATATCTTTGCAAAATCACCAAATTTAATAGAACATTTAGATGGTGGTTGGAGGTAGTCAACAGGAAACCCTGGACCCGGGTTTCGTGCTCCTTGGCACTCGTCAGCAAGGTGTACCTGTAATCTTGAGGGAACTGGTGCTCCCTGGCGGATTCGATCTCGTTTCACCCAGCTTCACAGTCAGAGACGTTACCACTGAGCTATCCGAGCCGTGACTACCCTCCTGTAGGACTGAGATGTAATCACAATTGATTGATCACTGGGTGGTGATCAGGAGGGTAGTCACGGCTCGGATAGCTCAGTGGTAACGTCTCTG